TGCAGGCTAGAAAGGAATGGCATGACATATTCAATGTGCTAAACTGGAAAAATGTGCAGCCCAGAATTCTTTATCCAACAAGGTTGTCATTCAGAATGAAGGAGAGATAAAGAGGTTCCAGGACAAACAAAAACTAAAGGAATTTGTGAACATTAAACCAGCCCTGCAAGAAATATTAAAGGGGGTCCTTTCAGCGGAGGGAGAGCCCAAAATTAAGACCAGAAAGGAACGCAGACAATCTACAGGAACAGTGACTTTACAGGTAACACAATGGCACTAACTTCGTATCTTTCAATAATTATTCTGAATGTAAATGGAGTAAATGTTCTAATCAAAAGATATATGATATCAGAATGGATTAATAAAAAAAAGACCCATCTTATATGCTGCTTACAAGAGACTCATGTTAGACCCAAAGACAGCTCCAAGTTGAAAGTGAGGGGGTAGAGAACCATTTATCATGCCAATGGACATCAAAAGAAAGCTGGAATAGCCATCCTTATATCAGACAAACTAGATTTTAAGCCAAAGACTGTAATAAGAAGGACACTATATCATAATAAAAGTGTCTATCTAACAGGAAGATCTAACAATTGTAAATATTTATGCCCCTAACTTGGGAGCAGCCAAATATATAAACCAATTAATAACAAAATTAAAGAAATTCATTGATAATAATACAATAATAGTAGGGGACTTCAACACCTCACTCTCAGCAATGGACAGATCATCTAAGCAGAAGATCAACAAGGAAACAAGGGCTTTGAATGACACACTGGACCAGATGGACTTAACAGATATATTCTGTTAAATATATTCAGAGCATTTCATCCTAAAGCAGTAGAATACATATTCTTGTCAAGTGCACATGGAACACTGTCCAGAATAGATCACATACTGAGTCACAAATCAGGTCTCAACCAGTATAAAAAGATTGAGAGTATAACATGCAAATTTTCAGACCACAATACTTTAAAACTTGAAGTCAACCATAAGAAAAAATTTGGAAGGACCACAAATACATAGAGATTAAAGAGCATCCTACTAAAGAATGAATGGGTTAACCAGGATCCATGGAGGCAAATGAAAATGAAAACACGACAGTTCAGAACCTTTGGGATGTAACAAAGGTGGTCCTAAGAGAGAAATATATTGCAATACAGGCCTTTCTCAAAAAATAAGAAAAGCCTCAAATACACAACCTAACATTACACCTAGATCTGGAAAAAGAACAGCAAATAAAGCCTAAATCCAGCAAGAGAAGAGAAATAATAAAGATTAGGGCAGAAATCAATGATATAGAAAAAAAAACAATAGAACAGATCAACGAAATTAGGATCTGGTTCTTTGAAAGAATTAATAAGATCAATAAATTCCAGGGTGCCTGGATGGCTGTCAGTTAAGCGTCTGGGTTCAGCTCAGGTCATGATCCCACAGTCCTGGGATTGAGCCTTGCATTGGGGTCCCTGCTCAGCAGGGAGCCTGCTTCTCCCTCTCCCTCTGCCTCCTCCCCGTGTTCATGCTCTGTCTCTGTCTTTCTCTCTCAAATAAATAAAATCTTAAAAAAAAAAAAAAAAAGAGCAATCAACTCCTAGCCAGACTTATCAAAAAGAAGAGAGAAAGGACCCAAATAAATAAAATCATGAATGAAAGAGGAGAGATCACAACCAACACCAAAGAAATACAAACAATTATAAGAGAATATTATAAACAATCATATGCCAACAAATTAGGCAATCTGGAAAAATGGATGCATTCCTAGAAACATATAAACTACCAAAACTGAAACAGGAAGAAATAGAAAACCTGAACAGACCCATAACCAACAAAGAAACTGAATCAGTAATCAAAAATCTCCCAACAAACAGGAGTCCAAGGCTGGATGGCTTCCCAGGCGAATTCTACTAAACACTGAAAGAATTAATACCTATTCTGAAACTGTTTCAAAAAATAAAAATGGAAGGAAAACTTCCAAACTCATTCTATGAGGCTAGCATTACTCTGATCCCAAAACCAGATAACGACCACACCAAAAAGGAGAATTACAGACCAATATCCCTGATGAACATGAATGCAAAAATTCTCACCAAGATACTAGCTAAAAAAACATTAAAAGGATTTTTCACCACGACCAAGTGGGATTTATTCCTGGGCTGCAAGGGTGGTTCAACATCTGCAAATCAATCAATGTGATACACCACATTAATAAAAGAAAGGACAAGAACCATATGATCCTCTCAAAAGATGCAGAAAAAAGCATTTGACAAAATACAGCATCCTTTTTTTCAGAAAAACTCTCCACAGCGTAGGGATAGAGAGAACATACCTCAATATCATAAAAGCCATATATGAAAAACCCACAGTGAATATCATCCTCAATGGGGAAAAACAGAGCTTTTTCCCCCAAGGTCAGGAACACGACAGGGATGTCCACTCCCACCGCTACTGTTCAACATAGTACTAGAAGTCCTAGCCTCAGCAATTCAACAACAAAAAGAAATAAAAGGCATCCAAACTGGCAAAGATGAAGTCAAACTTTCACTCTTAGCAGACAACATGATACTCTATGTAGAAAACCCAAAAGATTCCAGCAAATAATTGCTAGAACTGACACCGGAATTCGGCAAAGTCGCAGGATATAAAATCAATGCACAGAAGTCAGTTGTATTTCTATACACTAACAATGAGGCAGAAGAAAGAGAAATCAAGGAATAGATCCCATTTACATTTTCACCAAAAACAATAAGATACCTAGGAATAAGCCTAACCAAAGAGGTAAAGGATCTGTACTCTGAAAACTACAGAACACTTATGAAAGAAATTGAGGAAGACACAAAGAAATGGGAAAACATTCCATGTTCATGGATTGGAAGAACAAATATTGTTAAAATGTCTATGCTACCCAAAACAATCTACACATTCCATGCAATCCCTATCAAAATACCAACAACATTTTTCACAGAGCTGGAACAAACAATCTTAAAATTTGTATGGAACCAGAAAAGACCCCGAATAGCCAAAGTAATGTTGAAAAAGAAAACCAAAGCTGCAGGCATCACAATTCTGGACTTTAAGCTGTATTACAAAGTTGTAATCATCAAGACAGTATGGTACTGGCACAAAAACAGACACATAGATCAATGGAACAGAATAGAGAACCCAGAAATGGACCCTCAACTCTGTGGTCAATTAATCTCTGACAAAGCAGGAAAGAATATCCAATGGAAAAAAAAAACAGTGTCTTCAACAAATGGTGTTGGGAAAATTGGACAGCCACATGCAGAAGAATGAAACTGGACCACTTTCTTACACCATACACAAAAATAAACTCTAAATGGATACCTAAATGGTAAATCCATCATAATCCTAGAGAACACAGGCAGCAACCTCTGTGACCTTGGCCACAGCAACTTCTTGCTAGACATGTTTCCAAAGGCAAGAGAAACAAAAGCAAAACTGAACTATTGGGACTTTATCAAGATAAAAAGCTTTTGCACAGCAAAGGAAACAGTCGACAAAACTAAAAGGCAACCTACAGAATGGGAGAAGATATTTGCAATGTATTATCAGACAAAGAGCTAGTATCCAAAATCTATAAAAAATGTATCACACTCAACACCCAAAAAACAAAAAATCCAGTCAAGAAATGGGCAGAAGACATGAACAGACATTTCTCCACAGAAGACATACAATGGCCAACAGACACACAAAAAAATGTTCAACATCACTTGGCATCAGGAAAATACAAATCAAAACCACAATGAGATACCACCTCATACCAGTCAGAATGGCCAAAATTAACAAGTCAGGAAACGACAGATGTTGGCGAGGATGCAGAGAAAGGGGAACCCTTTTACACTGTTGGTGGGAATGCAAGCTGATGCAGCTACTCTGGAAGAGTATGGAGGTTCTTCAAAAAGTTAAAATTAGAGCTACCCAGGACGCCTGGGTGGCTCAGTTGGTTAAGAGTGTGCCTTCAGCAGGTCATGATCTCAGGGTTCCTGGATGGAGCCTCATGTTGGGCTCCCTGCTCCATGGGGAGTCTGATTCTCCTTCCGGCTTTCCCTCTCTCAATCTCTCTCTCTCTCTCTATCAAATAAATAAATAAAATCCTTAAAAAAATAGAGCTACCCTGTGACCCAGCAATTGCACTACTAGGTATTTATCCAAAGGATATAAACATAGAGATTTGAAGGGGCACATGCACCCCAATGTTTATAGCAGCAATGCCCACAATAACCAAAATATGGAAAGAGCGCAGATGTCCATTGACAGACGAATAGGTAAAGAAGAGGTATATATATATACAGTGGAATATTACTCAGCCATCAAAAAGAATGAAATCTTGCCATTTGCAATGATGTAGATGGAACTAGAGGGTATTATGCTAAGTGAAATAAATCAGAGAAAGACAAATACCATATGATTTCACTCTTATGTGGAGTTCAGGAAACAGAGGAACATAGGGGAAGGGAAGGAAAAATTAGATGAAAACAGAGAGGGAGGCAAAGCATAAGAGACTCTTAACTCTAGGAAACAAACAGGGTTGCTGGAGGGCAGGTGGGTGGGGGAATGGGGTAACTGGGTGATGGGCATTAAGGAGGGCATGTGATATAATGAGCACTGGGTGTTACATGCAACTGATGAATCACTAAATTCTACTTCTGAAACTAATAATATAGTATGTTAATTAAATTGAATTTAAATTAAAAAAAGATTCTCTCTCTCCCTCTGCCCCTCTCCCCACCCCCACTCACACATGCACATGCAGGCTCTCTTTCAAAAAAAAAAAAAAAAAAGAGTGAAGTCTGTGTACTTAACTACTATGCTATACTATATCAACATGTATACACATGCTCACACATTCATATGTATGTATACTATATATAATATATGCAAAATATAAAGCAGGCACATCAAATTTATCCAACTTTAGAGATGGTACATAGCATCTTTAGGTAGTCATAAGTAGTATCGATGAGAGAAAAAAGACAAAATACCTCTGGTGGTTTTTTCATTCAGGTTCACACCATATTTTGCCAAAGCTCTAATCACATGACTTTGCCCAGCCATGCAAGCTGCATACAACAAATTTCTCCCAACGATGTCTTCTTCCAAGAGGAGCTGCATGGCCTGTTCATGATGAGGGTTCTCAGGATCCTCAAAAATCTTCTGCAAACCTTCTACATCCCCTGTGAGAGCAGGTTGTAAGAGAGGATTAAGAGTGGCTGTTTCCTCTGGTTCTTTCGCTTCTTCTTCATCTTCTTCTTCTTCATCATCTTGCTGTGAGAAAAATACTGATTTTTCTGAACTCTCTGATTCTGGAGGTCCTTCTGGCTCCATTAACTCCCAAAATACCTGAAGCCAAGAAAAAGTAATAGTAATCTACTCAAACAAATCAGTATTTGTTTATCTGCTTATTTCATCAGTCAACTGACAATATAGATGGGATAAAAATACTTAACTGGTTGAAAATAATTATAAGACACTTACTTCATCCCTCAATCAATAAAGTTTATTGTGCACCTACTATAAATGAGCACACTGCCTGAATATATACTAAAATGCTGAATGTGTGATATAAACAATAAATTCAACAGGAACAGAAGAAGAAGCAGATCAATGTGGCTAGATTTATTAGGAAAAGATTGAAAAAGAATGCTAAAGAGATTCACCTGCCTAAACAAGGGTTCATGCTGGGGAAAAGTGAGAAATACAGAGGGATTACTGGAGCCAGATTAAAACTTTAAAACTTAGGCACTGACATTTAGACAGAATTATTCATTCGGTGATGCTTACTGAAAGCTTACTAATGTACTAAGTGCTGTGTAGCCCCTATGTAAATTACAAAGAAGAATCAAATTTATTTCCTGCCCTCAACGACTTATTATTTTAAGGGAGAAAATATGACATGCACAAAATAAGTGTGATAAAAGGTAACAAGTGCTAAATATCATAAGACATGAGGTATGCTGTGGGAGTTCAGAAGGGATGAGATTAATTCCAGGCACAATTAATCAAGGAATTCGTTGTGCTCAGTCTAGCAGAACACATATTAAATTGGTAATGATTCAGAGAAGAGTAGCATAGTCCCCTTCATATGTATAAGAATGTTTGTAGCATCACTGTTCATAACAGCAAAAATCCTGGGCAGGAAAACAAAGCCCAAGAACAGGAGCATAAACTGTAGCATAGTCACACAAAATAGGATATAGTAGTTAAAACGAATAAATTATAGTGATACCATGCGGTAGGCAGCTTCTAACAGGGCTCCCAGTGACTCTTACCCTGTCTCCTGATATTCATACCCTTGTGTAATTCCTGCCCCTGAATGCAGCCTGGACATAGTGACTTTCTTCTAATGAAAATACAGCAACAGTGATGGGATGTCATTTCCACAATTCAGTTATAGCAGACTGTGACTTTGCCTTATTGGTATTCTCTCCCTGGCTCTTCTTATGTAATATGATGGAGAGGGCCACCTTTCAAGGAACAGAAGGCAACCCCTGGCCAACAGCCAATAAGGAATGGAAGCCCTCAATCCATTAGCTCATGAGGAACTTAACTCTGCCAACAACCACTGAATGAGCTTGGAAGTGGATCAGCCCCAGATGAACCTTGAGATGACTGCAGTCACAGGCAACACCTTGATTGTGTCTTCATGAGAGATGCCAAAGTGAAAGATCTAGCTAAGCTGTGCCCGAGAAACTGGGAGATAAGGAATGTGTGCCATTTTTAAGCTACCACATTTGGGGGTAATTTGTCACACAGCAATAAATAACTGAAGCACACAATATGAATGAATCTTAGCAATATAATATTAATGGGAAAAAGTAGATCCAAAAGATTATATATAACAAGATATATTTTTGTAAAGTTCAAAGCAATTAAAATTGACGTTTTAGGAATGCAAATAGACTCAGTAACACTATTTTTTTAAAAAGAAGAAAAGCAAGATTCAACATAAGATTCAGGATCATGTTTGTGGCAGGAGCATGGGGGAAGACACAGGAAATGGGATAAATGGATTCATATATTTAGTAAAAAAAAAAAAAAAATACAGCATTTAAGCTGGGCCATAAAGAATGGGCAAGATTTGGTCATTCAGAAGTCAGAAGGAAGGGCAATCTAGTTAGACAGAATAACATCTCTATCTACATAACTCTACATTAATCTCTACCTTTACTAAACGTGTATACTTGTAAGCTGTTGAAGTTAGGAATTCTTTGATTATAGATAACAGAAAAATAGTAAGATTGACTTTTAAAAGTAAAAGATTATTTTTTCACATAACAAGAAATTTAAAGGTGGAGATTGTTCAGCAGCTCAAAAATATAGATGCAAGCTCTTTCTACCTTTCTATTCCATCATAGTGTGTAAGACTTTCATCATCATGGCTATTGCCTCCTAGTGAGAAGAGGGCTGTCATAACTCCTGGCATCACATCTGCATTTGTGGCAGGAAAAAGAGGGAATCCTCCAGAGGATAGCTATGCCTTTTTAAAAGGAAAGCAAAACAAAATCTTTCCTGACAAGCCCTAACAAAGGCCAGATTGTATCCCTATATTTAAAAGAAGAAGAAAAAAAAAAAGCAAGTTTCTCAATTTTCCTGCCTTTATAATAGAAGCAAGCAAGGTAGATGGGGTTGGGAATGGGAGTTGTTAGCCAATCAGCCATGACTCCACCATAAGATTTGGCCCAAACCTTATCTTTGAAATTGTTTCATTTAATTCCCTTCATTTTACAGAATAAATATGGAAAAAACATCCTTTTGAGTGCTAGCATCTAACTTTCCACCCTCCCAACACACAAACACACACACACACACACACACACACACACACACACACACTTTCTTAAAGAATCCCTATCTCCATTTTAGAGATTTCTAGTGGAAGATAAAGCTAACTTCCCACTATATAAGCCAAAGGCAAAATCCTCCTCTCCATCTCAGCACAAGGTTGGGAGCAAGAATATAAATTAGCTCTGCCAATCAGGTGCTCAATCCTAGGATCTTGACACTTTTTCTGCTGTTGTTTTTAATCATTTCATTTTCTCATTCACATATAACATTGTATTAGTTTAAGGTATGCAACATAATAATTTGATCTATGTATATATTATAAAATGATTATCACGGTAAGTTAACTCCATCACCTCACATAATTACAAAACTTTTTTTCTTGTGATGCAAACTTTTAAGATCTAATCTCTTAGCAACTTTCAAATACAATACAGTATCGTATTTAATTCAATGCAGTATTGTTAACTATAGTCATTATGCTGTACAGTGCATTCCCAAAACATATTTACCCTATAACTGGTAGTTTTTACATTTTGACCCTCTTTACCCATTTCACCTACCCTAACTCCACCTCTGGTAACCAGCAATCTGTTCTCTGTATCTGTGAGTTAAGTTTTTTAGCTTTCATAATAAATGACCAGGATCTTGACACTTGAACAAGGGACACAGGAACATGAGGCTAGTTGAAGGTCATTCATCAAGGTGACAGCAAGGGTGTACTGATCAAACTTCCTGCTATGAGAACATGCTGTGATTCTTGTGGTCTGACCCTCCAGAGCTCCCTTGGTTCCTGCTCGTTTCCAGGCTCCTCATGATCATGCGAGCCCGTTATAGTACTCAGACACAGCTGTCTTCCCTAAAATCTGATCTCCCCTTCTTTAGGAACAGAACCCCATTCTCTTTTTTTTAACCACACATTTTTTAAAAACCTATATTTATATTGGGATAAAACTACTTCCCAGTCTCTCTTGCAGCATGATGTGGCCATATGTCCAAATAGTAGACCTAAGATGTAAGTAGTCATGTAGTATACAACTTCTAGGAAAGTGTAATTCCTTCTCACTGGATTGCAAGCATGATGACTAGAGCCTGCACAGCTAATTTAGACCATGAGGAGGTGGATGTCCTGTCCAAATACATATATATTGCTTAATATATTGTATTACACATAGTATAAATTATTTTTATTGTATTATATAGTATATATTAGTGTATATCTTATTTCAATTTTATATACATAAATATATATATGCATATATATATCTCCTACTAATAAGGTAACCAACCAAATAACTTATTGGCAGTGGTAATGGAGACTTGGACACTTTTGTCCTGGGTACATTGCATATATGGGGTATACCTGCATGTATATCATTAACCAAAATACTATTTATCCTTACTACATGTAATATACTGAAGTTTTTATTCCCATTATGTATTTTTTTAATTTTTCATTTTTTAAGTAATCTCTACAGCCAACGTGGGGCTCAAACTCAGAACCCTGAGATCAAGAGTCACATGCTCTACCGACTGAGCCAGCCAGGCGTGCCTATTCCCATTACATTTTTTAAGGCTGGTGCAACCCACCAAATTGATTTCATGATCCGCTATTGGGGCACAAGCCACACTGTGAAAAAACATTAGTTTTGAATAACCTCTCTGGAACTATACCAGGAAATCGACAAGAGAGAATTTAACAGAAGTTAGACAGCAGGTGTTTATGGTTAATAGCTTGGGTGACATATGTTTCAATGGACCCAGGGCGGTTCCAGTTACATCTGTTCCCCTGCTGTAATTTTTAATAGCATCCTCTATCACACAATAAATGGTTTCATCACCCTATTAATAACACTGTGATCTTCTGGAACATATCTGCTATAGATATCCATATTCAAACCTTAGAGAACAGAGGCAGAATATGCTTAAAATGCCTTTCCTCACCGGCCTAGTGGGGGCCCAGACATGAGACCTTGAAGATACTGAGAAAATCCTATTTACATCTCATACATATTCCTATTACTAGGCCTACAATAATGTTTTTTTCCTCCTCCGTTCCTACTATCCAAATCCTATTTAGGCCAACCTATAAACCTATTTTCTTCCTAAAGCTTCTCTTGACTCCTCTCTAGAATTCACATGGGCCTCTCCCTCCTATGATCTTCAAAGGCTATTATATATAGTCCATAACATACCGTACCAAGGATGGTATTACATTATTTTCTATTTGTTTCAAGTATAGAAGACATCTACTTAATTAGATTATAAACTGGATGGGGGCAAGGATCAAGCCTTACATTTCTCTTGTGTCACTTTCAGACTTACCACAATTCTTGACATGTATGTATTCAATAATTCTTAACATCAACCTTGCAATTCCCACTGCTTTTCTGCACAGTCAAGAACAATGGGAGTTTTGGAGTCAGAAAGACTTGAGTTTACAATCCAATCCTGCAATTTATTAGCTGCATAATACTGGGTGATTTACCTAATCTCTTGTAGGAGTAACACTAGACCTAGTTTATAGGATTGTTATAAGAAATAATAAATTAGATGATGCATATGCCAAGCACATGGTGAGCACTCAGGAAGCAAAACCTATCATCATCGTATCATCATTCCTCCAGCAAAAGCATTCGAGAAATAAAAGAAAAGATGGTAGTACTATTACTTATTCTTTTTCTTTAATACATAGTTGTCCTACACAAGGTGTGAGTAAATTATTTTCTGTTCTACCACCACCAAACATTTGATTACAGACAGATTATTCTGCATCTAGAGATCAGTGTGGTCCCAGGTTATTTCAGAGATTTGTAAATAAACTAGATCAAATCTGGAAATATGATTCAGGCCAGAATACTCAAAGCTCCCAAAATTTTTATTTGGGTTATATCTATCAATATTTACCATATTAGAAAAAAACATTTACTATATTAGAAATTAAAACTTAGAAATCCTTAAAATATTTATTAATTCATCTTAAAACAGTTACATGTTAACATACAAAATATAGCTTATGGGGGGCACTGGGTGGCTCAGTCAGTTAAGCGTCTGCCTTCGGCTCAGGTCAAGGTCCCAGGGTCCTGGGATCGAGCCCCGCATCGGGCTCCCTGCTCAGCGGGGAGCCTGCCTCTCCCTCTCCCTCTGCTGTTCCCCCTGCTTGTGTGCTCTCTCTCTGTCATATAAATAAGTAAAATCTTTAAAATATATATATATAGCTTATGAAAAATATATTTTACAAGGAAAATTTGATGAGAAGAATGGCATTATTTTACATTTTTGCAATTCCCTTTAATGTCTGGCTTAACAGAAAAGAGATGGGTTCAAAAACCTGCTTCTGCTTTCATTGCCATGACGTGTGATGTTGTGGTATCACCTGTCATTTAGCCTCCAGAAAACCACCATAACATGTGAGAGAATGAGAATAAAAGACAAATGATGTGTAAGAATTAATATGAAGATAGCTTTACTGGTGAACTCCCTGAAAAATGTCTTAAGGATCCCTGGGGAATCCTCAGACCATACTTTGAGAACCACTGGACTAGGACAAAGTCCTAGGACTTAAGCCACCGTGGTCTATGGTCAAACCTTCAAGACTATTCTAGTCCAAATCTAGACTAAATGAGATCAGCCTTTCTGAAATAAAAGGACAAAGTGAAGTCTTCCAGGGCATTTATCTTTAGGCCTGCCTTTACAAGACATCTAATCAGGAGAAAAAAAAGTAAACTCTCCTGTCATGTTTGGTGGTCTATGGCTGATTGTGTCCTTCATCATACTGTCTTTTGGAGATAGAGCAAAGAATTCTATTCTTTATGGTTTTTTCTTCTTATAACCATAGAAGTTTTAAAATATTTTGAAGTATTTTTACTGTGACTATAAGTACTAATAGGATGATCATAGTAACATAGCTTTTCCTTTCTCCCTGTTATCAATATTCTATATATTGAAATTTTTTAAAAGATTTATTTGAGAGAGAGAGAAAGAGAGAGCGAACATAGGGAGAGGGAGAATCTCAAGCAACTTTCCACTGAGCACAGAGCCCAACACGGGGCTGGATCTCATGACCCTGAGATCATGACCTGAGCAGAAATCAAGAGTCGGACACTTAATCGACTGAACCACCCAGGCGCCCCTATATTGAAATGTTTAACTCTACTTCCTCACTAATATTTTTGTTTTAGAAAATACTTACCTTCCATGAGAAATATGTAATTTATATTTAACATAAAATGGGCTTACTTTTGTTATTGTTAAAAGAATTAATAAACATGTTTTTAATTCTCAGTATATTTTTAATGCTTACTGTATGGCTAGATAAAACCCACATAAAGGAAAGCTCTTTGGGATCAGTAATTTTTTGAGAGTATAATGGAGTCCTGGGACCAAAACATTTGAGGACCACTGTTCTAGGACACGGATGAGATCCAGAAGTGGCAGAGTCTTGCAGGGGCCCTTGCCCCCACATGGTTGCTGTAGCACGGTAAAGAAGTTCTGTAGGGAGGGAGGCCTGTGGGTTAAACCACCCCACCAGGGTGTAAAGGAAGTCACAAGAAGGTTCAGGGCACTGATCAAACCAGGAGAGATCTGTTCACAAGGTACATGACCCCAAACATGACAACGGGACCTTGAACATTTTCCCAAAAATCTTGTGAATCCACATATATTCACATACCAGGACACCATCTCAAGGAGAGAATCAGGGGAGAAGTTATCTGAGAACCTAAGTATTTTTGTATAAGAGAAATTAGACATTAGACAAAGAAGCCAATTACAGATCGGTCTAAACTTTAAAACCAGTTGAACGTTTCAATTATTTTTTTTCCTAATAATCAATGAGTGAGTGCTCCCAAAAGAAACTAGAAACAAAAATAAATTACATTTTCTTTGCCCATAAAAGTTATAAATCAAAATTGCAACCTAGGTGCCTATAGCCAAAAGTTCATAGAGAATGTAAGCATGGAGAGGGGAGACAGGGTTGGAACTATGAAGACAGAATGGCATAGCAGTCTGTGAGTCAGAAGGCCCATGCTTTAGTCCTAATTCTGGTATTTAATAGACTTTTCTGAACTCACACTTATTCGTGAAATGAGAACAGCACCTGCTCGGCTTTCCTTAATTCGTGTTGGAAATAAAGCAGGTCTACAAACTCTTCCTTTTAACTATGAAGTGCCAACTCTTTCGAGATTGCTAAGGAACTAATAATAGAACATCCCAGAGGCCACGGTCCTACCCCATAGGCCATTTATTCCCCACAGTGGGGGAGCCACCAGTAAATCAGCAATGACGATGAGCTAAGGGATACAATGGAGAGAAGCAAAGAGCACTTTGAAAGTAACGACACTGGACAGCTAAATTAGACTCGCAGCAGGGAGGTTCGGAAAAGGCTTTCCAGAAGTGGGGACACCCATCATGGAGTAGTAGGAGTCTTAAAAAGAGAAGAAAACGGCAATCCAGGTCATGCGAAACATAAAGGGCAAGGAGACAGACAAGCTCGAAATTATGACGAATAGATCTGAAGGGACTTTTAAGCTAATTGAATTCTTTCTTCAAAAAACGTGGTCCCTTGAGGATTTTAAGTCCCCAGCTCAAGGAGAGGGCCCTAAAGGGCAGCCCTGGGCCCCGGGGAGTTAAACAGAGGAAGGCCTGAAGAAGAGCAAACAGAGGGTGGCGGCCACACCGCGCGTCCCAGGAGGCCCGGCGGGGCGCACACCCATCGCTTCTGGACCCCGGAGTTCGCCTTCCGGCCTGAATCCCTCAGGGACCCTCCGGGATCTCCGAGGCTGCCCGCGGGGCGGGACCCGCTCTGCAAAGCTCTGGGCAGAAGCAAAGCCGGAGGACGCCGGGGTGAACGCCCACTCCCCTCCAGCTCCAGCCCCAGCGACCACGCGGGGAGACGCCCATTCCTTCCCCCGACCCCACCCCGAGCACCCACCGCGGCCCTCCGCCGGGGACTCCAACTCACCGCTCCCCAGGTCCCTGGCTTCCGCGGTTACCATAGCGACGGCGCACCCGTGCGCGGTAGCGCCGCCCCGAGCGCTGCGGTTCCGGCTGCGCGCCTGGGTCAAGGTTGCAAGGCGCGAGCCGAGAGGGAGCGGGAGAAAAACCCGGAGGAATCCCTCCACATGAATTCTCTGCATTCGGATGGAGGCGGGGTGGGGCTGGGGGGGTTTTCTACCATATGCTCTATATTTACTTCACAGTTTAAAAAAAATAAAATTTAAAAATAAGGCGTGCACACTGGTTGCAGGTCCGTCTTAAGTCTTATCTTTGGCCTTTGAACTAAAGAATTTTTCCAGAAATACGAGGATGCTTTCTGAAAATTACAAAAGATTGTAATATAACGGACAGATTGCTTAATTTTCTAGGCTGTTAGAGGTCTTTTTCTTATGGTTTATGGTCATTGTCACCAAGTCCGTTTCCTGAGACCTCACAAGTCCCAAGTATGTCAGGAGCGGAAGGGCCTTGGAAATTAACATCTAGCTTGGTTGAGGAATTTAAGATCCAAGACAGACGACGTTCTAGAAAGGATGGGAAGGGGTGGGACAGGGATATCAAAAGAAGCCAGCAGAGAAGAGCCACGCTTACCCAGAAACTATATAAATGTCCACATTAATCAGAGGGAAGACGGGGAAGTTTTGGTCCTGAAGACAACTAGTGAAGGAAATTCTTTACTATTTCCACAAGGAAATAGTTAAGGAGGAGGTAATATTTTAGAGGAGCTCAGAACATCTGAGTTGAAGGCTGAATAGCCTAGTTTTAAAATAAATATTTGGCCTAAGACCCAAGCAAAACATCGCTATCATAGATCTGAACTTCTGGAATAAAGAATAAGTTTGAAACTGTAACTATTAGATTTCTCTTATTCAAAGTAGTTATGATAGTCAAAATATTAGAGTTTGATGTATAGACAGGAACAATAAATAGTCATCTGCTAGCTCACTCACAACATATAGCACATTTGCTCTACTAAGCACTCACTTCCTACTGAAGTTGTTGGAGGAGCAAGACATTTTAGGTATTTCACTTTTAATATGTTTTATGCATGTATTATGTTTTTCATAGTCTCATTGGTGTTTCTTTTTTAGCATCTGGATGGAAGATGACTTCTGATGTATGATCGTGCATGAACCTGTTTTTAATTAATCTTCATTGGGTGTGAAGAATTCCCAAATACAACTGTTTATGGAAAGTCTTAAATGGATTTCAATACTGAAAGTTAAATAGAATTCTTAAAAGATTATTTTTAGTGCTCTGAATGCTAGAAAGGATGGGAAGACTCTAAGTAGGTCTGAGAAACCTAAAAGCAAAGGGGCGCTGTTCTCTGCTTAACTCCATGTCAGAAACAACTGCATGATTCATTTAGGCAGACCAGGTTAGAAACAGCCTTATGAAGGAGAATTCTGGCCTGGGGGTGGTCCAGATGCAGCAGAAAGACTTTCATGATCCTCTCTAACTCCCATCCTCTGTCCCCCAAGTTTGGCAGGAGAATATTAAAGAGAGCCTTTAGATCTAAGGGACCAAACTGATGTGCAAGAGACAAATCTTAGCAACAACTTTTGGGTACTAATGATGGAAGTCCAGATACGACAATGAAGTCCTGGTGTACAAATGGCTTAAGGAGCAGATGAGTTAAGCAGTATTCAAGCCCCCCCTGGAAATTAGGTCAGCTACAGAAAATTATGGTAGGGGGGAGGTTTACAAATTGATTAAAATTAATTTTTTCCACCCTGAAGGTAGACATGCCTGAACCCATTTTTTATGCTCCTTTTTCAATTATTACAATAAAATACTTTTTTCTAGGGGCGCCTGAGTGGCTCAGTTGGTTGAGTGTCTGCCTTCGGCTCAGGTCATGATCCCAGGGTCCTGGGATCGAGTCCTACATTGGGCTCCCTGCTCGGCGGGGAGTCTGCCTCTCCCTCTCTCTCTACCCCTCCCCCCTGCTCATGCTCTCTCTCTCTCTCTCAAATAAATAAATAAAATCTTTTAAAAAATTACTTTTTTCTAAGTAATCCAAAAAAGGATTGGATTTCTGTTACTTGTAACATCAATGCCTCATAATATTGAAGAGGGAAAATATAGTATGGCTTTATTTTAGAAACATGCTGTCCCTCAAGGTAAATTTCCCAAAATGAAATTTGGGAAGGATAAAATTGCAGGTAGGTGTTTCACTTGTGGTTGAACAACTGTGTGTGAGTATTATTAGTTAGAGGATCAATGTTAAACCTGGAGGCAGGTTTCTAGCAGGATGCTCTAGTACTCTGTCACCCTCTCCATTTCAACAACTTTGTGTCAGTGACTTAACTATAGCCCTATAAGGCATACCTAACAGATGATCCAAGGCTCAGAATAATAAATAATATGATAGATGATGGCAGAATGAAAATCTAAAATCAAAGGATAAATAGAAATTCAATAGGCAAAGAAGTGGGAAAAGGCATTTCAAAAGAAATTTGTAAAAAGGTATGGAGCCACAAAATAAATAGCAAAATAAATGCATATGTAGATTGAAACAGGCCAAGGATATGTGGTTGAGAGAGGCGAGAGATGTAATTAAAGAGAATGGAAGAGGGGGTGCCTGGGTGGCTCAGTCGTTAGGCGTCTGCCTTCAGCTCAGGTCATGGTCCCAGGGTCCTGGGATGGAGCCCCACATCGGGCTCCCTGCTCGGCGGGGAGCCTGCTTCTCCCTCTCCCACTCCCCCTGCTTGTGTTCCCTCTCTCGCTGTGTCTCTCTCTGTCAAATAAATAAATAAATCTTTAAAAAAAGAGGGAGGATTGGAAGAGGTCAGACAGCAATGTGGAGAATAGTTTGGAGGAAGACAACAGGCACAAAGAGAAGCCAAGAGTGACTCCCAGGTTTCTCTTGGGTGACCAGGTGACTAGGGGTCTTCTAATTCAGAGAGATTTTGAAGAAAAGCAGGGTTAGAATCAGGATGATGCGTTCAGTCTTAGACAAGCAGAGGCAAAAATATCAGTGTGCCTCCAGCCAACATACATTTGAATCTAAAGCTCAGTAGGGGTGCCTGGGTGGCTCAGTTGATTGAGTGTCTGACTCTTGATTTCAGCTCAGGTCATGATCTCAGGGTTGTAAGATCTAGCCCCTCCACCCACCCACCCCCAAAAAAAATCAGGCTCTGTGCTCAGCAGGGAGTCTGCTTGAGATGCTTTCTCTCCCTTTGCCCCTGCGTGTGCATATGCATGCGCACACGCATACTCTTTTTTTTCTCACTCTCTCAAATAAATAAATCTTTAAAAAAAGTAAAGCTCAATAGACAAGACTGGAATATAAATATAAATTTGGGAGTCATTGGCATATAAATGTTATTGAAAACCTTCAAAGAGGATGGAGTCATCCAAGGTGATGCATAAAAGAACAGGGCTAAGGGCAAGTGATGGGAAGAGCAATGCTAAGGAATAGGCAGAGAAAGATAGGGAGAGAATGAACAAGCCCAGGTGAGTGTGGCAACATAGAAGCCAAGAAAATCGTTTCAAAAAAGACTTGAAAAAATGACAATGGAATTTGGCACCTAGGGGTAACCTTTATGGGATCAATTTTGGTAAAGGGTGGTAGGCAAAATCAAGATTGCAGTGGACTGAGGAGTGAATGAGGGAGATCAGGAAGTAGACCACTAGGAATAGAATATTCTAGCTTGAAGAAGGTAGAATAGAAAGCTTTTTAAGAAAACTCTCTCCCACTCCCCCTGCTTGTGTTCCCTCTCTCCCTGTGTCTCTCTCTGTCAAATAAATAAACAAAAAAAAAAGAAAACTCTCCTTATAGGAAATATCTTTATTTTTAATGTAAGATAGGTTTGGCATTTGTCAGAGATAACATCAGGGTAATTGATTTAACAACTATAATTGAAAATGAAGTGGTAGCAGTGAAGGTCTGCTATTCTTTTGAGAAGTTCCAATAAGACGTTGAGGAAAGAAATTGCTCAGAAGTTAAAGGAATACAAAGTGTCAAGGGAGATATTGCAGCAGGGTGAGGATCACAGAAGCCTAAGTGTATCTATAGTGTGACAGCAAGGAACTTGCTGAAAGATAAGATTAAGAAAAGAGATGACCAATGAAGTAAGATCCTAAGGGAAATTGAAGGGTAAAGGGCTAAGTATCTATGGAATGATGGCCTCGAATAGGAGGAACTTCACTTGCTCTTCTAATTTTGAAATGAAAAAAAGTAACAGAAGCTTGGATGCAGATAACTTTTCATCCTATGGAATTTATGTTTGAAGAAAACCCAGCTTGTGACCTTGGACTAAGTATGCTTAAACTGAGGGAGGAAGGCATGGGAAGGATGAGAATAGCATGAAGATTTGGCAAAACAAGTAAAAACTTGGGTTGCATTGAAGAAGTGACTGAGGTTGAAGACAGAATTTAAAGTCACCTCAACCTGCACAGTTGAGAGATTTTCTCCAGCAATGCCCAGACACCCAGTTCGGTCTGAAGTTGGTATGACGGAGGCATGGAGGTGTGTGTGGATGAAAAGTGCTGGGGAGAAAATGAACTCTTTCTTGTCCAAAAAAAAAAGTTGGCCCTTCTCCCTCAGCTTCTGGAAGGTAACTTCTAAGCCCTTGGAATGAACTGCCTGTCTACACTAACAATGTGATTTATGTTGGGACCTTGGGCCATGCAGCAGCAGCTCAACCTATCCATTGGCTGGAGACTAACAATTACTATAACTCTTACAGATCCCTTCCTTCCATTCTGCCTCTGCTGCTCCTTATGATCATTGTATCTACCTGGCCTCTGATGATTAAGTTATGTCATCTAGCCTCTATTGTGTGTATGAGGGAGGTGGGGCCATCCTGACATCTTCACCATAATCAGGAAGCCCAGTTCTGTGTCAGCATCTCCTACCATCAATCTGATCTATAGAGGAGAGCCAATACTGAATTTATTAATGGTTCTGGGTACCCCTCTTACCAGCACCTTCCTTATTACTTTGGTAAATGGTCTGTCCTCTGGTCCCTCCCGTGGAATATAATTGCCTGGTGGGTTTTCAAGGCTTACATAGGATATCCACTCTAG